AGCAAGTGTTATTGGAAGATGTGCCCTATCACTCACCCCCATTGTTTGTGTGGACAGTGTCCGGTCACTTGTCTAATCTGCACAATCAGCAACTTATGAATTGCAGTCTGCAGTGGGCTGTACTTGCATAATTACCTTTTCTCAACAGTGTCTATACCATTGGTTAAATTAATGACATTATCAATAGAATCACGTTATGCCCTGGGTGTGTGTGTGGGGGGTGATGGAGAATGTTCTATATCATAAAATGACCATGATGTCTCTAAATTTAACAAAAGAGATACATAAACCATCTATAGATGAATGGATTTGGGGCTCACACTTAATTCTAGCCCAAATCCTAGAACAATTAGTTCTTATGACATGTCCCTGCTCAATTCTCTACTCCATAAAGAGATCGCTGAAGAGAAGGATGCTGTAGCAAAGTGTGGTGAAGAAAGCCAGCTATTAGAAAGAATAGCATCTGGGGTCTTAAAAAACTGCTTTGTCTTCAAGCAAGGAGCCATCTAAATGAGCCATCAACAAAGTCCACATGGAAAAAGCACACCATCCCGTGTGATCCAAAGATTGTAAATAATAAAGTCCAAATTTGAAGGAGGGAATGGCGCTGGAGTTAGATTGTGAGCACCCCGTTAGCAGATGGCTATGGATGACAGTGGGAGCCCAAAATCCATTTGCAGGGTCCCCACAGGGATTAAGCCTCCAGTGAATTGACTCTGGCCATAGTCAAGGGGTGTGAATAGCCTTCTGTCAGAGAGAGACTCTTGTAAACCTGGTGATGGCAGATATGGTGAGGTTCAAATGTAATAGCTGGTCGTGTGAGCTCCTTGTTGGCCTATACTGAAGTTGTTTCCGTTTTCACTACTTTCTGCTTTCTCTTTGATTGAGGATTTTCCATGTTTTGTCTCGTCTTGGTTGTTGTTTGTTTGCTGTGTTTTGTGTGGTTCTCTACATATGAAATTCAGGACAGGCGGCTTGCTAGAGACACTAACCGGCCTGACAATTGCCTAGGGACAGG